CTGGTTTTGGCACGATGCTGTTCCGTTTGGCGCGTTCTCGTCTCGTCTCGTCTCGTCTCGTTTTGTTTTGTTCGCCGTGCTCTGCTTTGGTGTCATGCGCGCTGTCTCGTTTCCAGTATTCGGTGCCATCGGACTATGCAGCAAAGCACCTCTTCCAAAGGCGGGATTCTTTTGTGATGATGCTTCGATTAATTATCCCTTTCACGAAAAAGATACGGTGACAGATGCGTCGTTGTACGTAGTGGGGGCTATTCTTCCCATAATCTTGGTAAGTTACTGCCGACAGTGTTAAAGCAAACGTGTACATAACAGCTTGAACCCGGTATTGAAATGAGCAACTCGGCATGCACCAGTGCTTCTTGCATCTTTGTGCTCACACACTAACACAAACATGTCTTGGCAGTGCTTTCATCTCCTCGAAAACTGTTGGATGTGTGCTTGGTTGCACTCTTTTTTTCAATCGAAACACGGCGGACATTGCCGTCCTTCAGGGTACATTCAGGCGATACGGGTGCTTGCTGCCTTCCGTAACTGACGTCGGCTGACTGACGGGCCCGCGGCGCCGGTCAACATCCGGCTGGAGCGAGCTGTTGCGCGACAGGGCGGCTCAGTTTGGGCGGCCGTGTGGCGAGCCCAGCGCACGTGCGACGGTCTCCGTCGGAGGGGCGTGTCCGCGGCGTCGCGTCTGGTCGGGGTTTTCGGGGCTGTCCGTGCGGCCACGGCGGCCGGGGGTCGTGCCGGACACATCAAGTCATCCTGCCTGGGGCGCCCCCCCCCCCCCCCCCCCGTTGCCGGCGGGGCGGCGCTCAGCGTCAAGGCCAGGACATGGCGCCGACGCCCCGGGATGAGTGTGGCATGGGCGCGACGATCGGGTCACCCGCGCTGGCTCGAGCCGTGGCCAGGGTGTGTGGAGGGCATGTGAACAAAGGGCTACGCAAGGAATGCAGTCTGGCGGAAAGTGGTAATGCATTGCTGCCATCCATGTGCATGTGGCGTAAAACTGGGAAATCGTTCACTTACTAAACTACATAGAGTGAAAATAGGAAAAACGATAAGTAGCAAAGTGATATCGTGATCGATTTTCAAAAGCCCTTGAAACGCTTCAGTGCGAGATGTAATCAAAAAATGAAAATAGTTTTGCTTCGAAATTTGCGAAGTTTGCCGTCTGGCCTCCTTTATGCTTGCGTCACTTTGCCACGTGATCGTGGTTTTGGTTCATACATTACCGAGACTGACCACTATAATAGCTTCCAGTGGATTTTATATCAGAGGGAGGGCGAGGGTAGGGGGCACGGGGAAGGCCATCTGGAGCTCTGTTGGGGTATTTGGGGAGTTATGCGGTCTGGTCTGCACGGAAGCATGCCTTGCGGGCTCGCCTGCGGGCCTGCACCAGACCGCTGGCGCTGCTGGTCGGACTGACCTCGAGTACCTGGCCACATCGGCCTACCGTCTTTGACACTGTGTAAAGCCCAGCCTGAGGCGTTTGTTCCGGGAGGCGCCATGGTCGTGTTCAGAGCATCGTCCGGGACATGACGGGCGGCGTCCTCTGTTTTTCAGTGGGCTTCTCTGTCCTAGCCTTTTACCTTGCCGGCCGGCCGTACGAACGGGGCTTCTTCTGTGACGATGAGACAATTCGGCACCCGTACCGACACGGTACGGTCTCCTCGACCGTGCTCTACTCTCTCGGTTTTGCGCTGAACATTGGAGTGGTGAGTGCATGCCCCCCCACCCCAACCCCCGCCCCTTCGTGAACGTCGCCGGGGAGGAGCGCTGGAAGCACCAGCGCTCTGCTGACCACACCTGGAAATCCCGAGGCAGCTGTCGAGTGGCCGATCCCGATGGCCGCGGGACGTATTTCTGATCCAGCCGTTGGAGCTCCTGAGCCGGACGTTCGGGCTTGGACCGTTGGGATGGATGGAGCTCGCTGGCGTTTGAGTTGTGATCTTAGGCGGGCGCCCCACGATCCGCTGAAGCCTGCCGCTCTACCAGACCTGGTTCGAGCTCCTTGAGACCTTCGTTCGAGCTGTGGGCCCCGGTGGGCGCCCAGACCGCCCGCTGATGTACAGACCTCGCTCGGTGCGGGTGGGGCGACATGAGCAGGTCCGGGCTGAGGACCGTGACGGGCGCAGATCAGACCCCCTCCCCCGAGCGTCCCCGGCGTGCTCTCCAGCTGCCGGTCGCGCTGGTCTGAGTTGTCCCCGGCCGGCCGGCTGTGCTGCGGCGGCGCGCGTGGCAAGCGCTCGTAACGGGTGGCGGTGACCGAAGGTCGACGTCGCACCTCGCCGCCGCCGCCGCTGCTGCCGCTGTCGAGACGCCAAAGCGACCTGGCCGGCCTCGAACCCACGTCCGGTGGTCCATCGCCAGAGATGGGGTCATGCAATGGTTGATCCCGCGCTCTCTTGCATGACTGTGTCAAATGCCGCTGTCAGTGCAGGGCATTGATGTGTACATGTGTTTGTTGCGCCAGCGGTGCATGCGCACGTCGTGTTGGCTATTAACTTGGCCTTGGGAAGGGGCGAAAATGGAAGCCGAGAGACATGTGAGAAGTGGCTGGGCGGCCTGGTTGGGTCCAGACAGGACGCGTGGCATGGATAAACGGAGAGGATTCTGCAGTCTAGCTCGTCAGACATTTGAGGGAGCCAGACCCAGCCGTCTGTGCATAGTGGTATGCCGTTGCGTGTGTCGCACCGGCTCCAACACGCCGCGGGGAACTGGGATGGAGGCCCCGACTGAAAGCAATGCTCCGCAATATGGATTCGGCTATTCCCATTTCCCAGAAATGTGCAGCACGAGTCTGGAAATAATTCCAATAAGGTGCTGGTCCGACGTACTAAACGTTGCCCCGCACCCTTTTATGGAGCGCCTGCAGCTACCGCGGCTATGGTAGCGCCCAGAGGTGGGGCACGTGCTGGAAATCGAACCTGGACTTCCAACAGCGAAACCGGCATCGTTAGACACAGGACTAATGGCACCGTGAAGTGTATATCTACTTGGAGACCCTCGTATCTGCCTAAATGTGCGTAATTCTATTCTTGATTCGACGTCATGATGACTTATCGCGACGCATGATTATCCTTTTTGATGTTATTAACAGCACGTTCGGTCGATCGGGCTACGCCACGCTTTTTCTTATCAGTAGTGTTACCCCCCCCCCCCCCGTAATAACGCCTTGCAGACGGGTTCAAAGTTCCTGTTGACTCGCACCCCTGAACGGCATTCATGTGACAGGCGTCAGTGTTTCATACCTGTGTCGGTTTTAGCACTCAGTGTCATGACATAGTCAGTCTGCACATAGTCGGATGACAGTGCCGGTAGTGTGGTGGTTAACGCGTCTGCGTTAACCGCTGCGCGTCTGGGAAACCAGAGGTACGGGGTTCGATTCCCCGCGGTGCCCGCCCTCCCCGCCAGGGTGAGAGGCAGGCGACGCCATATAGCCTCAGCAGCAGCGTGCGTCGTGAAGCCCCAATGACGCACACATAGTCGGGCCACCAAGTGATCTTTGGTTCATCTTGAGTTGTACTTCAGGATCAGATTAGGGCTAACGGCATTGAGTAGAGGCAACCAGGAACTTGCAGGCGTTATTATTTTTGAAGTACAGCTGGGTATGAACTCTCTACTGGTACTGTGACAAGCCAGGTTGTGAAGGATGGGGCGCGAAGCATGCCGTGAGTTTTGTGTGCCTTGCTATCCTCCTGGCGTTGTATGAGAACAGCGCCAGGAGGATGGTATTGTAGGGCCGCCGCCCTGAGCACCATCCTCCCGGCGTTGTCTGATCAGCAGCTCCCCGCACTCTGCCACCGGCCAACCCGCCCTCATCCCGCCGCCCACCCGCCTGGCCTTCTGCTGTGTAAATACACGAGTTCGTGGTCCCACGGCCACGACGCGGGGCCGTCCGCTGATTTTCTGGCACGTTGCCAGCGAAGAGGGCTGTCCGGAAGTCGTGGAGCTGTCGTTAGTTTCGTTAGGCCCTGTATGAGAGCATGGGGGGGGGGATCTCTCACTGATTTGACGAAGGTGCACTGGCAAGCGATGTGCGGTTCGCGGGCGAAACGTATTCCCTTGTCAATGCACTTGTCCGTTCAGTGTTAAGACTGGCGGACGGACGGTAGGAAACCGTGTGACCGGCCTTTGGGGGCGAGGAATCCAATGGAAGGACTGTATTCTGTGTTAGGGTATTGTTTTTTGCAATATAGTTTTTAGAGGGTTTAATTCCGAAAACTTTTGAATGGATCGATTTTTTGGATCGGAGCTCACGCTATGCATTGCTTGTTGTGTGAGGCCTGACCCCCACCAGCCAATCGCGCAATTCCATGTCAGCGGCAGAATTTGGTGGCGAAAGCGTAACGTGCGGCGGTGCTCGGCACGGTCCGCGCTGGAAATTTATGTTTGGACGCTTTCGAAAGGAACGTTCCGTCTTTCCGGTTAATGCAGAAACATACCAGTTAGCGAATAGCGTGTTTTTCAATTTGGAAAGTACGTGTTGGATAAGAATTGTCGATTTTGATTCACACACGAAACGAGAAAGAGACACAAGCAACCACAACATTACAAAACGCAATTTATTTTCGCAGCCACATCCGCGGTCTAGAAAATTGCACCATTAGTATATGATTTATATATATATATATATTTATTTATATATATATATATTATTATTATATATACATATAATATATATATATATATATGCAGTACATGCTCAGCTTGCTGCTTGCGCGGAGCACGCCTACGGCATTAGCGGCTTGTGAGCACGGTGTTTAACATCCCGAGGTGGCATACTCAGCTCGGTAAACCCAAAACCTGCCTGCGTGTCCGCTAGCAAACTCAAGCCGGCGCCCTGAGTCCTGCGGTGGTCAGGTGGCCGTCGGCGCGCCCGCCGCCAGCGGCGGGTCGGGGCGCTGGACGCGAGGCAGACCGCCCGCCCGTCCGCCCGCCGGCCCGCCCGCCAGCCTGAGCCAGCCGGAGCCAGCCGCCGCCACCGCCTCTGCTCTCCGTTGCAGTGGCCGCCCCCCTCCTGGTCTTCTACTATGCCGTCGAGCCGTTCCAGCGCGGCTTTTTCTGTGACGACGAGTCGATTAGGCACCCGTACAAAGCGGACACGGTGTCCACTGTGGCATGCTATATCGTGGCTGTTACGCTGTCGGTGATCATGGTGAGTGAGGCGCTCTCGTGGCGCCCATCCCTCTCGTTTTCCCGGTTCCTCGACCCCAGCTCCGATTGCTTTCGTTCATGCTAGTATCCTTCAGTGATGTGCGCCCTTTGTCATTTTGCTTCGTGGTGGGCTTGTTATGGTCTTGCGTTATAAACCTAAAGATCCCGCAACAACCCCGCTGTGCGTTCGTGCTCTTTCGCATTTCATTTCGATCGCAGCCTGTGGCACGTTGTATTTTTTTCTATAGACCTCTAGAGCTTTTGAAAGCCGACATATCACCGGCACGGGCAACCGCATTAGCTGCTTCGTAGCCCTTCCTTTGTGGCGGAGAGGGCCGTGGCCAGGTCGCTTGGATCGGTCTGGCCCACCGGGGGGGCGGGAGACACCCCGGATACACGCGCACGGAGCGCGCTGGTGGTAGTTTTCCCTTACACCATTGACTGGTGTTGCGATCACTGCGATGGGAGAAACGGGGCTTGTCTCATCGGTGCCCCTCGCCCCCTGTCCATGCCGCCTGAACAGCCTAGGAATAAGAGTTTCTTGCTGATCGGCTGAGGACTTGTTTTGTATGTTCGTCCTCAGCGGGCGGTCATCACCAAGCGAGGTCCGAACTTGATTTAAAATATTCACAATACAGACGATTCTCGAATACCAAAATGCGTCAATCCCCAAAATGACGTCCCACCAAGATGTCACCTTCATGTGCTTACCCAGCCGGGAGCCTTTGAAACTCCCCAGTCGGAAGACACAGCTTCCTTCCAACTTTTTTTGTCGTTTTAGTATAGTGCATTTATGGGTGGTCATCAGGTTCCTCAAGCGAAGGACATATGGGGTTGGATCGATGACATAGCTAGGAACATTTTGAGTCGTCCCGGAGCATGCGCGGGCAGCGATCGTTGATGCGCCGTAACCTGCATTATTTTAGCCGAGATTGGGCCCGCTTTCCAATACGACATGGATGACGTAGGAAAAGCCTCTCATTAGTATTTAGGAAATGGCCTGAGCGACAGAACATGACGCAGCCGCTGCCCGACTTGAGTGCGTCGCCGCCGCTGACCGACCAGGCTGGCGTGCGCTAGTCGCCATCCGGTAAGCTCGGCTGCGGCGAGACCCTCCGCCTCGGCGGCGCTCCCCCGGGCGTTCGGTCCGGCTGACCGGCGGCGCGCGGGGAAACCAGAGGTACGGGGTTCGATTCCCCGCGGTGCCAGCCCTTCCTGTCAGGGTGAGAGGCAGGTGGGGCCATATGGCCATGTAGCCTCAGCAGCTGAGTATGTCGTGAAATCCCCAATGACATGACACATGACCGCCGGCGCGGCGTACCCGTGCCGCGTCGGCCGGCGGCACGCCCGCGCGCCACGCCGTCGACGGCGCTGTGTGCTCGGGTCACGCGAGATATTGATACAAGATACGCGCTGAGTCACTTCCTGACCAGGCGCGGGTCTGAGCGCGTCCGCACTCGGACGTGTGGCGTGATGGGACCGGACTCATGACAACTCTGGACTCGGGCTGAGGCGATTGCAATCATCTCAGAACTCGTGTCTCGGGACTCGGACCTTGCTTCAATGTCCTTGGATCCGGGACCCAGGTTTATGTTCAAGAAATTTGTGAACGTGCCTCGTGCCCATACTCCACAACTGGGGCTCGGAGACTCTTCTGACTCTTTTTTAATCTGACTCATACTATTGCCTGAGCTAGCAGGTGAACACCGCGTCAGGTATTTCCGGGGAGGCTAGCCCAACTTTCGAGAGATCGCTCCAATTCTCCGCAGGTTCTTGTGCCACCGCACACCCGCCGCCGCGCCTCCCACGGCCGGTCCGCCGTTTTGACCCAGTTTGCTGCGCTGCATGTGTATGAGCCGACCACCAGCTGTGCGCTCACGCCCCTGTCTGGTGGGTTCGGTCCCGTCCGTCAGGGTCCGGTCCTGTCTGGTGGGGTCCGGTCGTATCTGGTGAGGGCCGGTCTTACCCGGCTGGGTCTGGTCCTGTCCGGCGGGGCCTGGTCTGACCGGCTCAGAGTCCAGTCCTGTCCGGCAGGGTCTGGTCTGACCGGCTCAGAGTCCGGTCCTGTCCGGCGGGGTCTGACCTGACCGGCTCAGAGTCCGGTCCTGTCCGGCGGGGTCTGGTCTGACCGGCTCAGAGTCCGGTCCTGTCCGGTTGGACCTGGCCTGACCGGCTCAGAGTCCGGTCCTGTCCGGCGGGGTCTGGTCTGACCGGTTCAGAGTCCGGTCCTGTCCGGCGCGGTCCGGCTCGGGCCGGCTCCAGGTCCGCACGTCAGCCTCGGGCGGCGCCGAGTGACGCCGATCGGCCACAGGTGCGGCGGCCGCGCTGTGCGCCAGAGTGCCACGCCGTGCCGGTCCGCCCGCTCTCTCCCGCGGGCTGTGGCTGCCGCGGTTGGGGAGGGGAGGGGGATTGACAGCATAGGACCGTGTGGGCGATGGGCTGGATTTCCTGTGTCCGGGCCGGGCTGCCCTGGGTTAGGAGCACGGCCGCCTAGCCCGCTGGGGTAAACGTCACACCCTCTCCGGGAAAGACGGTGGCGTCCGGAGGTGGGCGGCCGGCTCATTTAGCGGCTGGGCTTAGCGGGAATGTTCCTGGTCGGTATGAAGCAGCGTTCGCTGATCCATACGCAGCCATGGCCATTATTACTTTAAGTTGACGGTTGTTAGTTACCGCGAAGCGTTTTTGCTGAAGAAAAAGCCGTTTTCGAACCTCAGCCATATGTGCGGCCTTAAACGTAACTGGCGCGTTTAGGAATACTGCTAATGATATGTTTATGTTGACCACATTGACAATATAGGCGGAACCTTGATTTTTGTCTCATATTAACTCGGTTTTACCAACTAAGTTAGCATACCATCACTGTACAGCTTGTTAACATTGGGGTGATATCGTTCCACTAATTGTCGCACGGCCATCTTATGCAGTTAAACCCGTCATTGACCGAGGGGATTGTCAAATCTCCCCCGTCGAAGGTTTGTGATGCTTCAGAAGCGCGTTGAGGTATTCGTGCACAGATTTCACTTGCTATCAATCATTAAGTTTTATGCCTTGCGCCAAAATGGCAACTATGAGGCTAAGCTAGGCTAGAATTATTTCATTATTCACCTGCGTTGTCGTTGTAATGTTTCAATGTTCCACATTGAAATATTTGCATGTCGAATAGCAAAGATAGTGATGAAAGTATGTTGCAAATTGTTGATGTTTGACCCAACTTATAAAGTACCTGAAACACCGTGTACAATGAAGAATACTTACAAAGTTCCAAGCGGCTGTCTGTAACAGTGACTAAGTTCTGACTTGAAATGCGTGGTGGCGTGTGTTGGCAGCGCCGATGTGGGCTCGGACCCACGGCAGGGGACGGCGGGGCTCCGGCCGGCCGCGGCGGCGTCGTGACCAGACGGCGAAAGCCTCTCTTGTGGTGTGGTCCGAGACCGTGCGCCACGTTCCTATCGTTAGCCATTTGAATTTTTGAATTCGGCTCGACCGTTCTTGAGATAAGCAGAGGGGAGGGGTGCCAAATTTGCCCTCCTCCCCCCCCCCCCCCCCCCCACCTCCTCTCCTCCGATCATTGATGCGCTGCTCTGAAACCAGGTCGATGCTAGGTTAAAAATCGATCTGATTAGCTCAGCCCATGAAAGGGGCTCTTCCTTTTGTGTTTTCCGTAGGGGTGAGCTCTGCTTGTCTTGAATCTGGACTGTGAGGAATAGTATAAGGGCCCGCTGTTTTATAAGGGCCAGAGGCAATACGTTTGTTCGACGTTGTTTGTATTCGTTCCATTGCTGTTTTTTGTAAGTGGTAGACGAGCTGCACGTCACGGGTCTGAAGAGAATCAAGAACATTCAGATAGAGCAAACTGGTGTCATGGCAGTTCCATTTTGACAAATGGATTCAAATCGCCGGGGGACGTACCTGGGTTCCGAACGTATTGTGCTTTTGGTGCGATAAATGACGGCTATGGGAATGGTTGGTACGGGCACTGGGTCGCGGCGGTCGTTGCGGTTGTGTTCCAGCCTTTGAATTGAGTCACGAACGCCAGCCGAACAATGGAAGCCGCCCGGCGCCGGACATGTCCACGCGCCCCCGCGCGTGAGCGTGACGCTCCGAGTGTTAACTCACTGATAGCGGCGGCGGCGGCGTGGGCGACCGGCACGCTGGCTAGTCATGTCGGCCAGTCCGGACCGGAACGGCGGACCGGTCGGGCCAAAACAGCGGACTGGAACAGCGGACTGATTCTGACCGGCTCTGATCGGATCGGCTCGGCAGTTCGCTGCGGACCGGGGCGGACCAGCACGCACTGGTGTACGTCGGAGCGTTCCGTCACCAGACGGGGCTGAGGGTGGCCCCCGTCCTCTGAGGAGCCACCGGCAGGCGGCTCCCCTGTACTCCCGATCTGGCCGGACAGTGCCGCGTCCGTCGGCCTCACAGAGCCGGCGCCACTGTGCCGCTCCGCGGCGTCTGGCTGGGGCGCGGCTGTCGTCGGCTCCCTGCCCGGGCCGTGGCCGCAGAGATCGCGCAGCGAACCGTGGCTCGGATCAGACGAGCTCAATCGCCGACAGCGGGTCGCGGGGTCCATCCTCGCGGGCGGTTGCGGCCCGTCGGGACTAGGACGTGGGCGCGGTGGCTCGTGACGCTCCCTCCCCCCGCCCTCTCCTCCCCCTCCCCCGGGTGATAGCTGACTATGTGCCGACTTCGCCTCTCTGTCTTCGCATGACCCTGTCTCGGCCGCGTGCAACCGGTCGGTCGGTGCATGCCGTCTGTATCTGCGTGTAAGCCTTGGATTCCCGCTGCGCGCATTGTGGCTCACTTTGTCTTTCTCCGTGTGCGCTGCTAGACTGCTTTTGTGTTATCGAGCTTTTCTTACGGTTTGTCGGTACGGTTTATCGTGTGATGTGTTTTCAAGTGGGTGAAGTGTCTAAAGCTTTGTCATTGTTGCAGTTACGGTTTATGGTTAGCAGGCGACGTTCTTGTAACCTCAGGTCACCGTTGTAGCTTTTGAAAATACATTGTTTTTATGGTGTTTTGCACTACGAATGAGATCATTTTTCGGGCTGTCGTTATTGCCTGGTGTGGTGCTTTGTACACAACGGCTGGCCGAGTTAATTCTCTGACCGTCTCCCGGTATTTCTGAGACCTCAGGACTAACTCTCTGACCGTCTCCCGGTATTTCTGAGACCTCAGGACTGACTCTCTGACCGTCTCCCGGTATTACTGAGACCTCAGGACTAACTCTCTGACCGTCTCCCGGTATTTCTGAGACCTCAGGACTAACTCTCTGACCGTCTCCCGGTATTTCTGAGACCTCAGGACTAACTCTCTGACCGTCTCCCGGTATTACTGAGACCTCAGGACTAACTCGCTGACCGTCTCCCGGTATTACTGAGACCTCAGGACTAACTCTCTGACCGTCTCCCGGTATTACTGAGACCTCAGGATTAACTCTCTGACCGTCTCCTGGTATTACTGAGACCTCAGGACTACGTGGTGTTCGGTTGTCAGCCATGTTCGGTCATTTTTCGAATCCCTGCCTTGGAATTGCCGGGACTCGAACCGGGGTCGCCTGGTCGTGATTCCAGCGCTCTACCAACTTAGATAACCGGGAAGGGCTCGGCTCAGTTTGATAGAGTGCTGGCTCACCATCAGATACTTCGTTTCAAAGCGCAGCAATTCCAAGGAGAAATTTTAGATGGTGGCGCAGGCATAGCCGAAAATCAAACGCCATTCAGACCTTCTCAGGACGAATAACACCTGACGACGGGTGGAGAACAAACCGGCGAGAACTTTGTGCACATACCAACGCACCACATGAAGGCCCGAACAATGATTCCATTCGTGCTCTAAATGCCTTGCTGCAATCTCTCCGCAAACCTCCGAGTTAATTTGTTGCTGTATGTCAAGCGGTTCCGCTTGCTTCGCCGTCACATGTCTCGGCTCACTGGGACGCCCGTGTGCGCGCAGATGTCTATCGTTGAGTACTTCCATTGCAAGCACTGCCACCGCCAGAAGACCATGCAGGTGTGCTGCCTGCGCGTGCACCCCTGGTTCTGGGCCATCTACTCGATGGTGGGCGTGTTCGCGTTCGGCGCCGCCTGCTCCCAGCTGGCGACAGACATCGGTGAGGCCACAGTCGAGCGCTGCCGCCGGTGGCACCCGCCGGCTAGTGGCGGCACGGTGACGGGTCCCGCGGTCAGCGGCTGGCCTTGACGGGGCTGGGAGCTGCCGACGCCGCGCCCGTGACCCGGCGCCGCGCTAGCCGGGGCCGCGGGAGCGAGCGGCTGCCCTGCGCCGGCCGCGTCGAGCTGGCGCCGTGCTGCTGACCCGACGCCGTCGGGCAGCGCCCCCAGATGGTCAGCGTGCTGCCGCCGCGCCACTGGCGCCGCCGTCAGACGGCGCTGGCATGACCCGAGGTCGAATGCTGGACGGGAGAGCATTGGTGCTCGCCAGTTGGACGGAGCTATCGAAGTGCTCTGGACTTGCACGGCCCGCGCGACCTCAGTTGTTGTTTTAAGTGGTGACCGTTGTTTGTTAAGAAATACTGTCTGTAGCGCGTCTATGCTGTTGTGCCTAGTCATGCGATCTGGTTACATTTGTTGTTGTTAAGCGTCGCATTTTGTAGATACCGAGTGTTTGCATCGGTATTGCCTTTCAGGCAACGGTGTATGAGCCTGATAACGACGTTGCGTGCATAGGAACATTGCGTGCGTTAGCGTGCATTAAAACCCCCATTTATCATCGTCTTCAGCTAATGAACATCCTTCCAGTCGCATACGTTTGAAGCCTGATTTTGTTTAGTGAATCATATCCCGCGTTGTGCATGTCTTATCCTCAGTCTCTCCAGCACGTGTCTAGTGGTGCATGCCCAACAGGTTCTTGATCTGCCTCGATCTGTTTTCCGCTCGTCAGGTGGGTCGCTAGCGATTGGTCCGCTACTGCTGACACCGCTGTCCGGCCCCGCGGCCGATCCGTCTGACGCGTCTGACACCTGCCCCTGACCCGTCTGACGCGTCTGACACCTGCCCCTGACCCGTCTGACGCGTCTGACACCTGCCCCTGACCCGTCTGACGCGTCTGACACCTGCCCCTGATCCGTCTGACGCGTTTGACACCTGCTCCTGACCCATCTGACGCGTCTTACACCTGCCTGTGACCAGTCTGCCGCGTCTGACACCTGCCCCCGATCCGTCTGACGCGTCTGACACTTGCCCCTGGTCCGTCTGACGCGTCTGACACGTGAACCCGACCCGTCTGACGCCTGCGTGTGACCCGTCTGACGCACCTGACACCTGTCCCTGACCCATCGGACGCGTCTGACGCCTACCTCTGACCCGTCTGACGCGTCTGACACCTGCCCCTGACCCGTTCGACACCTGACCCCGACCCGTCTGACCTCAGGGAAGTACACGATCGGGCGGCTGCGCCCGCACTTCATCACCGTCTGCCAGCCGGACTTCAACAAGATCAACTGTTCGGGACACGCGTTCATAGAGGACTTCGAGTGTTTGGGAGACAACGTGAAGGCGATCAGGGAGGCAAGGTGGGTGGAGGCGTCCCAGCCGTGGCCGTCGGGCCGGGGTCAGTCTCCGGGGCGGAGACGGGCGCTGTCCCTGACGGAGGGGAATGTGGGTGGCGGCGTCCCAGCCGTGGCCGTCGGGCCGGGGTCAGTCTCCGGGGCGGAGACGGGCGCTGTCCCTGACGGAAGGGAATGTGGGTGGCGGCGTCCCAGCCGTGGCCGTCGGGCCGGGGTCAGTCTCCTGGGCGGAGACGGGCGCTGTCCCAGACGGAAGGGAATGTGGGTGGCGGCGTCCCAGCCGTGGCCGTCGGGCCGGGGTCAGTCTCCGGGGCGGAGACGGGCGCTGTCCCTGACGGAGGGGAATGTGGGTGGCGGCGTCCCAGCCGTGGCCGTCGGGCCGGGGTCAGTCTCCTGGGCGGAGACGGGCGCTGTCCCAGACGGAAGGGAATGTGGGTGGCGGCGTCCCAGCCGTGGCCGTCGGGCCGGGGTCAGTCTCCTGGGCGGAGACGGGCGCTGTCCCAGACGGAAGGGAATGTGGGTGGCGGCGTCCCAGCCGTGGCCGTCGGGCCGGGGTCAGTCTCCTGGGCGGAGACGGGCGCTGTCCCTGACGGTGGGTGACCTCTGACGTTGCAACCCGACGCCGCCCGAGCTGAAGTGTCCAACCTGAGACGAATCCGGCTATGAGGCTTGCTTGCCACGTTGATCGGGGAGGGGGGGGGGAGGGGGGCTTTGACCGGTACGGCAGGTGGTGTCCCTGGGTTGGATCTGTTCTCCCCCGAGCCGTCACAGGCTGGACGGCTCGGCTGGGCCTGACTCATGCGCTTGTTGCAGGCTTTCGTTCCCGTCCGGCCACGCTTCGTTCTCGTTCTACACCATGGTGTACCTGGCGGTGAGTAGTATGGCGGCGGCGGCGGCGGCGGCGGGACGCTCCCGGTCGTGTCGCTCCCGTCGTGTGTGGCGTCCGCGGGATCTGGGGGTCGGCCGCTTCCCCGGTGCCGTTGAACGGCCTGGTGGCACGTCATCCCCGACACGTTTCAGTTCGGCGCCTCTATCGGGGGCTGGGCTGGTCGACGCGACTAAGGCTCGGTGTTCCATGGCAAGTCCCATTGGGAGGGCATCCCGCCGGCATTGTCAGTAAACTTGACAATGCCAGCAGGATAATAAACGATGTTCCCAGACCTCCTGCAACGTATTCCTGGTCCCTGTTCCTTTGTTCTCAGTCTCCCGTTGGCTACGCGGGCGTGGACATGGCATTGCTGACATGGGTAAGGCTGCCTGCAGTCAGCATCCGGGACGGAAAGCCAGCTGTTTTCCCCGCGGCCTAACGTGCTGATGAACGCAACCGTGGCCTTGCACTGACATCGTACTGGGTTGCAACTGTGCCTGCCGAGGAGGGCGGGGGGGGGCGGGGGTCCCGTCGTACTGTCGCGCTGTGTACCGCACACTTGTGATGATGTGGCATGCACCACATACGCCTCTGGCGTGCTGGCGTGTTGTGTCCCACATACGTCTGTCGTGTTGGTGTACTGTGTCCCACACACGTCTGTCGTGCTGGTGTTCTGTGTCCCACATACGCCTGTCGTGCTGGTGTTCTGTGTCCCTTACACGTCTGTTGCGCTGGTGTACTGTGTCCCGCACACGTCTGTCGTGCTGGTGCACTGTGCCACACACGTCTCGTGCTGGTGTACTGTGTCCCTCACACGTCTGTCGTGCTGGTGCACTGTGCCACGCACGTCTCGTGCTGGCGCACTGTGCCACGCACGTCTGTCGTGTTGGTGCACTGTACCACACACGTCTCGTGCTGGTGTACTGTGTCCCACGCACGTCTGTCGTGCTGGTGCACTGTACCACACACGTCTCGTGCTGGTGTACTGTGTCCCTCACACGTCTGTCGTGCTGGTGCACTGTGCCACACACGTCTCGTGCTGGCGCACTGTGCCACGCACGTCTGTCGTGTTGGTGCACTGTACCACACACGTCTCGTGCTGGTGTACTGTGTCCCACGCACGTCTGTCGTGCTGGTGCACTGTACCACACACGTCTCGCACTGGTGCACTGTGCCACACACGTCTGTCGTGCTGGTGCACTGTACCACACATCTCGTGCTGGTGTACTGTGTCCCACACACGTCTGTCGTGCTGGTGCACTGCGCCACACACGTCTGTCGTGCTGGTGCACTGTGCCACACACGTCTGTCGTGCTGGTGCACTGTGCAGCACACGTCTGTCGTGCTGGTGCACTGTACCACACATCTCGTGCTGGTGTACTGTGTCCCACACACGTATGTCGTGCTGGTGCACTGTGCCACACACGCCTGTCGTGCTGGTGCACTGTGCAACACACGTCTGTCGTGCTGGTGCACTGTACCACACACGTCTCGTGCTGGTGTACTGTGTCCCACACACGTCTCGTGCTGACTAACAGCACCCTCTGGCAACCGTACGTACCGTCAGGGGTGTAAGTCGGCCGGTGGCATGCGCGCCACGTCCCTGCTCATCATGCTCCACATGTCTCGGACGTGACGCTCGGTTCTGAAAAGTTCTTGTTCCATGCCTGGCTAGAAGATGAGTGATTTCATCTTGTGTTCATTTACTCATATAGCATCGGGTGCTCCTCTAGTTCCGAGCATTCTGTTCTAAAAACATTCGAGCGTTTGATTTTTTGTTCAAAACTGCAATCAACACGCGCTTGCAACCACTCTCGCCACGCAAGGACAGTTGACCGAGGTGCTGCGCCCCCGCGAAAGGACACACACTATATGGAGCGAGAACGGGTGTGTGGAGACCATGGTGTCCGCCGCTCAAGCGGAGGCATGAGTTGACCAGCAATGTTTGTCGAGCTCGCATCCGGCGCATGATAGGTGATCTGGCCCTGCATCAGGTGCCGGTTTCCGGTCACGTATGCAGACTCCTCGTGACCGCACCGGCACACTGATCAGCAGCAGCCAGTGTTCGGCGTCCCCTGTCCCCCCCCCCCCCCCCCCCCCCTCCTCCCGGCGCCGCACGGGCACCGCCAGCGTGCGTATAGGAGAGATCTGGTGTGCCAAAAGACCAACGTCCGAAAAACGCGCAGCGTTGCTGAGCACAGACGGCGTCGTTTCACGCACTGGCCCGTTGCAGCGCAGCTGACGAAATGCTTGCGCGGGGCGGCAGGCACCTGTCTCACTGACGTCGCCCCCGTTCCTGCAGCTGTACCTGCAGGCGCGCCTCACGTGGCGCGCCACCAAGCTGCTGCGGCCGTTCCTGCAGTTCATCTGCGTGATGCTGTGCTGGTACACGGCGCTCAGCCGCGTCTCCGACTACAAGCACCACCCGACCGACGTGCTGGGCGGCGCCGTGCTCGGCACCGTCGTCGCCGTGGTCGTGGTACGTGCCGCCGGCGAGGCGACCGCCCGTTCGGTTGCGCTGAGGGCGGGGTGGGGCAGTGCGGAGGATGCCCCTCCGGAATCGCGGTGTGACGGCGTTGTCGGCGTGTCCGTGGCCCGGCAAACGAGGAAGCACAAGACCGCTCAGCTTGTTCGATGTTTTAAAGTATGAGGTGCGGACATGAAATTTTCAAATTAAAAGCAGTAGTGTTACCGTGTGCGGGCGCGAAAGCGACGATCGCATTCCACACCCCTAGAACACCAAGCCGCAGCGTAAATAGTCACAAGTTGTCTGGCGCACGTGAGCCAGCAGACTTCATCCATGTCGTTTCCCATTAATTGGGTTTTCTGGTTGTAGGTTTGTACCCAGGTTATCTCGATGTACTCCCTCCAGCTCGTCCAGCCTTTTTTATTGCGTCAACATCCTGAATTACGAAGGTTTTCACGACGAATGCGCGTCCCCAACTACGTACATCAATAGTTATCTTTAAAAAAACATTGCAAATCATCATGTTAACAATAGGAAACGTGATAAATGTTTTGCGTGACTGTGGAGATGATCTCCGTTTTTATGTGACACTGCGATCTGGCTCCGCCCGCCGCCGCTCACCAGTTGCCGCCCGCCGCCGCTCACCAGCTGCCGCCCGCCGCCGCTCACCAGTTGCCGCCCGCCGCCGCTTACCAGTTGCCGCCCGCCGCCGCTCACCAGTTGCCGCCCGCCGCCGCTCACCAGCTGCCGCCCGCCGCCGCTCACCCCGCCGGTGGTCCGGCGCCGCCCCGACGCGGCACGAGCAAACGGCTGACCGTCCCTGGCCTCCAGAGCTGACCGCCCTCCCCCGCCCACAGGCCGTCTACGTGTCCGGCATGTTCAAGAAGCGCTGCGCGGCGGCCGACGTCCAGCCTCCTTCCCGGCAGAACACTATCGACAACACCGACATACCGTAGCGACCGGGCCGGGCCGGGCCGTGTCGGGTCGGGTCGGCCCAGGCCCGTGTCCCCAGACGCTCTGCTTGTTATCTTCCGCGGCGGAGGCGCTCGTGGGCCGCGGCTCTCATTGGATTGGCGTGATGGCGAAATGGTGCTCGTATTGGGCGGTTTTGTGTGACGAGGCGTGAACAGCGATGTTGGGCTGCCGCTAAAGAAATAAGTAGACTATCATCTAGTTCAAACAAGCGGCGTCATGCATGAAAGCGCTCATGCCTTGTTCTATGCAAACGCACAGCAGGAGATAGTGGATTGTGCCTCACGTTTTTCTCCGTAGGTCTGCCATCTAGAATTTGTCTTGATATGGGTTCGTCGCTTGCGGTGCGAATGCTCATACGAGTCGAACTAAAAGCGTGCATCGTTTTTTTTTGGGGGGGGGGGTGGGAGGTTGATCCAAATCTTTCGAATGGATGGACAACTGGGATTAGAGTTCACGTTAAGCAGTGCTTGTGTGAGGCTTGACCCCTACCGTCAGATCGCGAAAATTCCAGGTAAACGGCAGGATTTGGTGGCGCAAGTTAAGCTAGCTGCAGCGCCCGGCAAGGTTCGTGCTGCCCTCTGACGTCACCCGACCGGCCGCCGCAGCGGCCTTCGTTCACACTTTTTTGTGATGAAGCTAGGTCCATGTTGTGTATCCGTCATGCGATGAACTGGCAAGATATTTGCGAGCAGTCGTCGGTAGTGTTTTTTTATGATCGGCAGTCCGGTGATGTTATGTGTAAAAAGGTCTACCGCACATATTAACTAGAATGTTCATCCGATACATTCTGCATTTCAGCGTGCAGTCCAATTCTGATAGCATGGAATGAATTATGTGTAGATGCATTGCTAAAACATGAGCGCTGCATGATTTTGTCCAAAGCTGAAGGGATTTGTTTTTAATTATTCCAATATCGTACAAAGCGACATGTCACGGCTGCGATGCGTCTTATCTACCCCCAAAACGGTGCACTGTCTCCTAACCAAACAGTGTTTTGCGTAGTTGAAGTTCAAGCCCAAAAACGATAGCCGGCATCTTGCTTATGACATCTTGTCGATATACCTCGCCATTCCTCGGAATGTATCTCTGTGGCGTAAATGCGGGAGACGAAAAAATGTTCTAGCCCGTGAGAGCCGAATTTTGGACACGCGTCATGAGCAGTGGTGAGAACCACGACCGTACTTGTTTGTGCTGGTGGCCGTATCAGTCACAAGCGGCCGATACTGCGCCACGTCACAGGCTCGGTCGGCCTGACCACCGTGACGTCACGGGTAGACCCGTAGTACCGTGGTGCGCGCGTGGCGAACTGCGGTGACGTTTACGTATACTGTAGAGGTGGCGGCTGGTCACGGGTTCCGAGTGCCGGGCACGTCGAAGTCCATGTGCGATTGTCCGACCGGCTGACCTCCGCCGTAGCCGCCGTTGCGGAAGGGAGCGGTGCTCTGCCCGTGTTAACGTCGCGTATTTGCAGCTCGTATGAATGCTCTCTGTCGCCTCGTTCCCAGTAAGCTGTGGCCCAGCCGTGGCAGGCAGTTGTACGTAGTGTTGCAAAAGTCAGCTATGGTTTGGTGATTTCCGTTAGTGGTGCTTTTTGTGTTGTTAACTTTCTGTGGGGGGTATCTAGCTCTTCCCTCAGGGAGGTGTGACGTATGGCGTACCATGAACGGCTTGAAAATGTGTGCCCGACATCATCGACGCCCGACAACGTAACGTTAAAATATGTGGTCGCAATGCGTTTTTAGATCATTTTGTTTCAACGCTGTCAGAACCGGGAACCGGTCCGCGGCATCACTTTGTTCAGAGACCTTAAAGTCTCTCAGTTATTGGTCCCTGGATGTGACACCTTTCAGTCGACCTACATTGTAACTCATAGGAGGAGAGTTGGAGAACGAATTTCTGAGCCAATGTTTGAGGGCTTTGGCCGTATTGGAGTGTGTTGAGATTGTGTTGTTTGCTCTAAACAATCTAAGATACTTGCATACTAACCTTCGTGCAATGTGGCAGGCTGCTGTTTGGTAGCTCTTCAGGTGGCTCAAACCTCTATCTTTTTTAGTTACTAATTCATTTAGTGCACGGTCCGTATACTTTGTGGTTGTAAGATTATATTGTAAGTGTTCATTCACATGATGTGTTTGATTATATCCTCGCTGGAATATCGCGCAATACATATAGTGCACCTGTAGCGATTCTTCGACCTCATTTTATGGAGGTGCGTGTTAGGCCCTCGTCTACACTGGGTTCTCCCTCTTGCTGAAAGCCTTGCAAGAATGAGTGACTGACATGGCTGGATCAAATTGGACCTACTGAAAGTTGGTTTTTCAGTGTTCAATGCACGAACGTACGTGACTTCATGACGCGTTCCCAAGGTGTGCGTTGATCTGTGTTAAGGTCCATTTCCATCGGAGGCCTACTACTTAGAAACTAAATTGTGCTCAATCGTTTTAGCGCTGCCTCAATTAACGTGATGCATCGAGAATGATATGATTGGAATCCCACATGTTAGCTGCCCAGGTATTTTGGCTTAATGACGCATGTTTACACGGACTCGTAATCGCATCAAGCGTTGAACCCAACCCTGCGACGCGATGGTTGCAAGACGTGGCATTCCGCAGGATATGCAGAGAAGGGGCTATGCTCAGGGGTGGGACCTCACGAGAATTGGTGCCCTGATGATCCAACTAGTGATCGGAGGTAGGGGAAAGCGGGGCAAAATGATGCACCCTGGTAAAACGGGCACCCCGCGATTTCGGCTGTTAGAGGTCGCGTCATCGGAAATCAATGGCTTAAGCTAAAGCTCTGACGGGACGGGAATGACGTGCACCAGGCCTTTCTGTCGGCGGCCGTGGTTGGAGGAGGATGTGAGTTTTGGCTTTCCGTTTTTTGTTATTGTTTTTATGGTGATTTGAACGCTGTTTATTGTACGAGTATAATGAATCGTGAATTCAAAGTTGCTGCGCTTTGGTGGTGTATGCATGCAGATTCCTTGTGAGCAATTGTGAATTTTTCGGGCCAATTTTCGTTGCGTGTCGAATCATGTTGTGTTGTTGGCGTCCATGGGGCAGAATGGTTGGGGCAAAATGGGCACTCGGGGGGGGGGGGGGGGAATAGCACACAAAAGCTCCCGTTTGCCCCACCTGAAATATGACTATTGCAAGGAAAGCTTGGCTTAAATAAGCCATGAACACTGTTCCAATGGTAGTAGCAGGTACATGAGTAGAGCCCGAAACAAGTGAATCGATTCTGTTTCATTTCCATGATTAAATGGTGGTCGAACTACTACGTCAAACTGGGAATGTGCGGCCTTGCGATTTGTCGTTTATAAGTTATTGAGGGCGCGCATGTGATGGCTCTATATTTATCGTTCCTTTTAAGCCTAATTTATTGTAATTATGTTGTTTAACAAAGCTTATTTGTGAACATAAGGATTGTAAGTACCTACCTGTGATGACTTGATTCAGTATCACGCATTTGCCCACCTCTTTGATAGTCTCTATAACTTACTTGTTAATCAGCAAACAAGCAACAACGACTTTCGACCGACCCGTTATGAAAAACGTATCCTAAAAAGTAGCTTAGGCTATGAAAAAGGTGGAAAGTTCATACATTTTTGGTCATTATTGCATAAAGCTCACAGTACGTTTCGTACTTTTCCGTACATTTAAATGGTGTGTTTCTCTGCATGCACAGACACTGGCGTAAGTACTAACGCATAGGTATTCTCTCTGATAGACCTGGGGTGAAAAAATAAATTTAAGTTTTCTTTTCTCTGCTTACGGGCAAGACCCAGCAAATTGCAATAAGTTGTAATGCTTATTTACCATGTTGTGCCCAGAAACGGTGCCAACTCCAATAAAGTGGGAGAAAGCCTTGCATTCCCTTAAAAAATATACGATTCAGTGTTTTGTTTTTAAATTATTAAATAGTTCAACGTTTTCTTGTTCCTTAAACATTAAGACTGACTTATTGTATAGTATTACATAGAAGGTGTTTTATCACATCGTCCTTAATATTAAACGTAGCTAATTTAACACAAGGACTGAAATGCCCTATAACCAACTAGTTATAGGCATGCAGTTGGGTATTTTGCTTTGATAATTGTACTTAATTTTCCGTGGCGGGTAAACGTTTTCCTTGTTTATTAAAATAAATATAGGTAAACTGGTGGGTCCAGGGAGGGGTGGGAGGGGGAGGGAGGCTTAAGGGGCAAATGACCGAAGAGAAAAACCGATCGGCAATCCTGGAAGCGGGGTACAATGGCGAAGGCCATCAAAGCAGTCGAGGTGGGAAAAAGGTCCACCAAAGAAGCGGCAGGCCGCTTTCTGGTCCCGAAGTCGACTCTTGACAGGCGGCTGAAAAAGGCACGGGCAATGTCAATAACAGAGGCCACAGAGAAGGTCCTGGGTCGACACGAACCTGTTTTCACGGAAGCTCAGTAGCGAGATTTGGTACAGCACATAATGGAGCTCCAAAACCGGAGGTTCGGAATAGCGCTGACTGACCTCAAGAAGCTCGCATATGAGTTCGCGGACAGGAACAAAATCACTCACCCATTCAACACGGTGACGAAGATGGCAGGGGAGGCGTGGATGCGATGCTTCTACAAGAGGAACCCCGCGGTCTCACTAAGGATGCCAGAGGCCAAAAGCGCTGCTCGCGCGCGGCGTTCAACTCAGTCAGTGTCAACGCGTTCCTCGACAACCTTGAGTCGCAGACGGATTCTGCCCAGTTCGGTCCTACACGCATCTACAACATGGATGAAACGGGATTCAACACGGTCGCAACAAAACAAGAGAAGGTGCTGGCGAGGAAAGGGTGCAAGCAGGTCGGCCAACTGACATCTGCGGAACGAGGCACGCTGGTTACCGGGGTGATGTGTATCAACGCTGTAGGGAGCTACATACCTCCAGGTGTGATATTCCAAAGAAAGAGAGCCAACCAGCAGCTGGAGAATGGTCTTCCCCCAGGTAGCCTGGTGCTGTACCATGAGTCTGGTTGTATGCAGAAGGAGCTGTTCGTGAAATGGCTTGACCATTTCATACCGCACGCGAAGCCCTCGAAACAGGATCCAGTCCTTCTCATATTGGATGGACATGCCAGCCACACCAAGAGCCTCGCAGTCATCCTGCTGTGCAGGGAAGCAGGTGTGGTGATGCTCACCATTCCTCCGCACACCTCACACCGCCTTCAACCACTGGACTGGACGTTCATGCCTCCCGTCAGCACCTTCTTCTTCCAAGGTCAGAGAACGTGCTCCGAGACAACCCTGGTAAAGTCGCCACACTGTTTGAGATGGGGGAGCTGATCGGGTCAGCCTACGTGCAGGCGGCAACAGTGAAGACGGCGTTGAAGGGCTTCGAAGTCATGGGGATCTTCCCACAAACCGCCATGTGTTTGGCGAAGAAGACTACGCAGCGGCAGAAACAACGAACATCTCGCTGGCCGGCATCGCAGACGCACCAGTGGGTCTCAACTCAGCAGCAGCTCCTCTGCCCATGCCTCGGCCCTCTGACGTTGATGTCTCTTGAGTCTAAAGGACGAAAAAGGAAGAGTGTAGAAACTCAGAAACCGCAGCGTAAACAAAAGAAGCGTACACCACGAACGCTTACCTTTGAAGAGTCCTTGGACGAAGAAGGTGTAGCTTATCTGTACTGCGGGTCTCTCTTCTCCATGTCCAAATCGAGCGAGTCTTGGTCGAGGTGTGCTCTCTGTGATAAATGGGCGCACGATGCCTGTGCAGGGATTGATGAAGAGGACGAGTGCGTGTTCGTGTGCAAACTGTGCCGGGATGAGTGGGCAGGCTGGTGTCTTGTCTAGTTTCGCCACTGGTCGTACCTGCTGACGGGTCCACTAGGCTGTGCTCCTCTCGTGTTTTGCGTTTACAGTGACTAAGAAGTGGATTGACGAGAAGCGCGAGTGAGTGTTCCTGAGCGAACTTTGCTCGATGACTTGTGTGCTCGAGACTCGATCGTTTTCGTCTCATTGTGAAACCATCACGCTGTGGTCCTCTAATTCTGTGTCTAAGCCATGCAGCAGTGGCTGTCGCTTCATACTAAGCTGTGATTCCCATTTACTGGCCGTTATAACTTCTATTCGTGGGATCATACTGAGGAAAGAAATATGGATTGGGATGGTTCGAACAAAATATGAGAGCCCAAACTTAAGCAATATAGCTATTGGATGTCCAGATAAATACCTACTCACCGAGCAATGCATTTATTGATGAGTTTTCATTAAAAAATGATAACTTTGAAAATATTTATTTCGCTTATTCAATCTCATCACTTGTCCGTTTTGCCCGGAATACTGCTTCGTTTCGCCCCAAGCCAGGGGCAAAATGAGGAAAAAACATTGCCTGATATTTAGGAGGATCACACTTTAACATGAAGAGATATCAAGCCAGCGCTTTTATAAGAGATAGACAATTGATCAGCCTTCCATATCCACCTGCTAAAGACTTTCTGGACAGACTTATGAGCTTGCCATATTAAAAAAGTTAAGGTGTCCGTCTTGCCCCGTTTTCCCCTACTCAAACTTCTGTTTAAAGCGGGCAAACGGCTTATGTTCAGATTCAGATCGTCAAAACAGCCGGCTCGGTGCCATTATCAGGGAAGGGGCAACGGATGTTCTCCACACAGTGGCGCCATGCACAAAGACTCGCTTCAGTTGCTAGTAGATAGGAGCGGCTTGCATCTTTTTTTGAGCAATAACTTGCGAAAGCTGTGGATTCGCTGACCGCAAAGCTTTGTAGGAATGTAAGGGCGTGATCAATTAGTTTCTTCCCATCCCTACGTTCGTTTGACGCTGGCGTGGAAAGGCGGTGCGTATACACCCTCCAAAACGGAGGGCGGTTACGCACCGGGCTTATACACCCTCAAAAAAATTCAGATGGTTGTACGTGTGAAGCATACGCAGATTGGCAATCTTGGAGGGAAGCGAGTGCAAAAATGCAGAATCCCGTGCGAAAAGTCGACTCCGTGTGTGATAGACGTCAAACGATCACGAAATCCACCAACTTACTCCGAACCAGTTTTACTCTGATCACCAATTTTCGGCCGCCGGGCCCGCATCTTCAGTGGATGGATGGCTAGCGTGCTGGTCTCGCACACGGGAAGCCCGGGTTCAAACCTCGACGACGGCCGCTGTTAAATGAGTGGCTTCATGGTCTATCGGGTTGGCGTGGTGATGTCAACTCGCTTCAATTCTAAGCGGGATGAATTATAACTTGGGCTTTTCATATCGACGAGTACCGTAGTTTCTAATGCCAGGGGAAGGGAGTCTGCACCCTACAAAGATATTGAAGATCCGGTGAAGTTTGACCGTAAATCTAAATGAGTGTGACACACTCAATAGCCAGTGGAAATGACGCATACAACGGCGCCGGCATGTAGAATTACGTTCGGCAATTGCGCGTAAAAATTCATCAGCGCGTATTCGATTGCTCTCAAAGGTGGAGGCACCAAGGCCAATAGGGACGGAACCTGAACGGTCATGGGTGCCGCAGGAGACCAACAAAGGGGCTCCCGTCAACAAGTATAGGGTCCTCAGAGCAAACAAAAAGAACTCAAGGCCCACGTGGTGGGCCCCTAAACGATCGGTAGCGCTTCGACAGGATGACATGTGAAGCCCGGTCATAACACAGAACCCTCCGAGCAAAGGGGAATTATTCAAGACCATAACTTAATACCCTTGTGCAATCAAGAGTGCACGGGCAGATTAACAACACGAGTCTCGATAGGAGTGAAAAGTCAGCCGCAAATGAGACCAAAGGGAGAGAGCCCTTGATCAAAAGTAGAGGGCCCCTGAGCATCGAGTGTCTTCGTGCCTTGCCTTATTAGAGCCCTAGCAACAGCACAAAGCCCTTCAAACCAGTAGAAAGACCCTGAAATTTATATGAAGGGCTCCTGAGCAACTGAATGTACTCTGGCATATGCGGCCCCGGAAAAGTGTATGTAGCCTTTCGAACGAATGAGAAGAACCCGTGGAGGAAAACCCGATTGAACAACAGTGTTCAGGCATGGAGGCGAATAGCGTCCCAACAGCACATTGGGCCCTACGAAAAAATGGGAAGCGATCGAGGGTAACGTGGAAAGCTCCTTAGCGATCAGATTGACGCAGCAAGTGGGCATATAGGGACAGGCAGCCATCAGCGTAATGCCTCTAGACAGCGTAATGAGCCCCAATATTTCCCCCAAGCAACATTTTCTCAGTCAGCGAAGAATGAACTTCGTTTTCTTATGAACTCTTTATTTTTGCTAGCAATGGTTCTTGGTCATATGTAGGCCCAAAGGCATCCAATGTTGTTGTGCTTTTGTTGTAAGGAAATTGCGTCCGTGCGGCCGATTATAATCCACTTCGGAGCATTTAGGTTCCCTCGACATGGTCCATGAAACCTGGTCCTGTGACTCCCTCCACCCTCTCCAGCCTCCACCGGCCCGAGCATCTGAATAAATGGGGCCCGCTGAGAACATAAGGTCATCCATTCAAATAAGAAACACTCCCGACGCAATGTGTAGGACTCTGAACGACCGAGTGCGCCAGAACAGGTTGACATATAAGGCCCCCGTCAAGAGGAAGTATTCAAGACCCAATGTAAGAGGCCCCCGGATGATCGAGTGTGCCCGAGCAGGTTAACAGACAAGGCTCCCAAAAAGAGCGTAGGATCCTCCATTCAAATAGGAAGTTATCAAGACCCAATGCAGAGGACCCTCGAATGATCCAGTGTATCAGAGCAAACCAACATGTAGGGTCCGGTCAAAAGCGTAAGGCCCTCCATTCAAATAGGAAATACGCAAGACCCGAGGTAGGGGGCCCCTGAACGATCGAGTGTACCCGAGCAGGTTAACAAATAGGGCTCCCAACAAGAGCGTAAGGCCCTCTATCTGAATGGGAAGCACTGAAGATCCTAAATGAATAGCCCCAGAATGATGCAATGTGCCCAAGTAGCGTATCAGGAGGAGCCCGACAAGAGCGCGGGGGCCCTTCAATCAAATAAGGAGTACCCAAAACCCAGTGCGAAGGGCCCCGAAAGATGGAGTATACCCGAGCAGATTGTCATGTGACCCAGGCGGGAGAGTAGGGCCCCAAATTTAAACACCAAGACCCAATATATAGGGCCCGAACAAACCAGTGTGGCCGAAGCGGCGAACAGATGGGGTCCAAGACAAGTGCGTAGGCCCCTCCATTCAGATAGGAAGTACCCAAGACATAGCGTGGAGGGCGCCGGATATTCGAGTGTGCCCGAGCAGGTTAACAGATGGAGCTCCGGCAAGAGCGTAGGGCCCTCCGTTAAGATATGAATTACCCACGGCACGATGTAGAGGGCCCCGAATAACCAAGTGCGCCAGAGCATGTTAACAGATAGAGTCTCTTAAAAGAGCGGAGGGCACTCCATTAGAAAAGGAAATACCCAAAACCAGACGTAGAGGTCCCCCACGATCGAATGGGCCAGAGCATCTTATCAGATGGGGGCCCCGACAGGAGCTTAAGGCCCTCCATTCAATTAAGAAGTACCTCAAACCCCGTGCGGAGGGCCCTGAAAGATGGAGCATATCTGAACAGGTTATCAGATGACCCCGGGGGGGGGGGGGGGCAGAGGGCCCTAAATTCAAACACCAAGAAGCAATGTGCAGGACCCACCAGCAATCCAGTGTGGCCGAGGAAGCGAACAGAGGGGGCCCCCGACAAGTGCGTAGGACCAATTCAAATAGCACGTGTCCAAGGCTCAATGTAGGCCCCCCCCCCCGAACGATCCAATGTGCTCGAGCAGGTTATCAGGTAGCCCCCCCCCCCTCACAGAAGCGTAGGGCCACCATTCAAAACATAAATATCAAAAAAAAAACCAGTGTAGACGGTCCCCGAACGACTGAGTCTGCCCAAGCAGGCCATCAGATGGACCCCCGATTAGAGTGTAGGGCCCTAAGCAAGTGACAGAGAATTGGAAACGCGCTAGACCAATGTAGAGGATCCATGGGCATATCGCTAGTATGTTGGTAGATTAACCGATACCCACGTAGAGGGGCCCTGAGCAACTATTGATCAGAATATGGCTGGTTCATAGTGAGCTGATGGATTTCGTGATCGTTTGATGCCTATCACGCATAGAGTCGACTTTTCACACGGTATTCTGCTTGTTTGCACTTGCTTCCCTCTAAGGCTGGCATTCGTGTATGTTTGACACGTACAACCATCTGAAAGATTTTTGGAGGGTGTATAAGCCCGGTGCGCAACCGCCCTCTGTTTTGGTGGGTGTATATGCCCCGTCCGTAACCGCCCTCCGTTTTGGAGGGTGTATACGCGCAGCCGCATGGAAATCGTCGAATGTTTGTGGCGCTGGTGTAATTCACCTCTTAGCTGGGGGGGGGGGGGGGGGGGGTTAGGGCGCATTGGCTGCTGTAGGCCATGCGGCCACTGCTCAGTTAAAAGAATCAATTAATTTGATTAGTTGCTGCAGTCGAGCATCACTTTAATGCGTGCATCGATATCCAAACTCTGATATAACTGGTAGCAAATGTGAAATGATTGATACACGTTAAGTAACTCACGCGGGAGCCTTTAAGGTTCTTGAAATATGCAGATATAACATACATATTTCATCGGAAAAATGCTTTGTCATCATTTACAAACATCTACGGTGTTTTGCTAAGTTTGCTTGCATTTCTGCTAATTTGCCGCGTAAGATTGAAGAAAGGAGGTGACTGGGAAAAATCGCAGCGTTTCAGCGTTGTCATTTAGTGTGGACCTGGAGCGCTGCGCTTGTTGCGCGAGAATCGGAAAGCGGGCAAGAGCGGTGTGCGCTGTGGCGGGCGCGGAGTATCTCGGTGTGTGGTGCGCGATGGGCGGGTTTTGTGTTGGTTGCGGCTGGGGAGGCTGAGTTGGTTACGTCGCTGAGGCTTCTTGCAATCGATTTCGCGGATCTGAACATCTGCAGCCGTTGCTGTGTGCAGTGGCGTGGCTTTTTCGAGACGGGATCACAGCGAGCGACTTCAGGAGTGTTGGTACAGCGCAGCTGCGCGCTGTGCAGGATTTCGCCAAAGTGGTATCGGGAGTCCTGGTCATTTTGCATGTTGATCAACAGCTTTGCAAGTTCATTTTGATAGGGTTGCATCTGGCACATCACTTTTGCATTGTGCAGAAGGTGCTCAGCAAGTGGCCTGCAAAATGGCTGGAAATGTGGGGATGGAAAGCCTGATTGGCATAGTGAATCAGTTGCAGGATGCATTCACACAGATGGGTGTTAGCATGCAGCTGGACCTGCCCCAGATAGCTGTTGTTGGTGGTCAGAGTGCTGGGAAGTCCTCGGTATTGGAGAATTTTGTGGGGCAAGATTTCCTACCCCGTGGCTCTGGCATTGTCACAAGACGTCCATTGGTTCTGCAGCTGATCAACAATCCTACTGAATATGGAGAATTCTTGCACTGCAAAGGGCAACACTTCACAGATTTTGATGACATCAGAAGAGAGATCGAGGCAGAGACTGACCGTGTTACAGGTGCAAACAAAGGGATCAGCCCAATTCCAATCAACCTCAGGGTGTATTCGCCTCATGTTCTGAATTTGACCCTGGTGGATTTACCTGGCATGACAAGAGTGCCTGTGGGAGATCAGCCCAAAGACATTGAGGAGCAAATCCGAAACATGATCATGCAGTTCATCACAAAGCCCAACTGCCTGGTGCTTGCTGTCACACCTGCCAATCAAGACATTGCAATCAGTGATGCTCTGAAGCTGGCAAGGGAAGTTGATCCTGATGGAATGAGGACCATCGGTGTCATCACCAAGCTTGACCTGATGGATGATGGGACTGATGCTAAGGACATCTTGGAAAACAAAACTTTGCCTCTGCGTCGAGGTTTTGTCGGAGTGGTGAACCGTAGTCAGCGGGACATTGAGGGTCGCAAAGACATCAGAGCAGCACTTGCTGCAGAAAGGAAGTTCTTCCTAAGCCATCCAGCGTACCGATCGATGGCAGATCGCATGGGAACACCCCACTTGCAGCGGGTGTTGAACCAGCAGTTGTCCAACCACATCAGAGAAACCTTGCCTTCACTCAGAGACAAGTTGCAAAAGCAGCTTCTAAGCATGGAAAAGGAGGTGGAGGAGTATAGGCACTTCAGACCTGATGACCCAAGCATCAAGACCAAGGCTATGCTGCAGATGATCCAGCAGTTGCAGGCTGACTTCGACCGCTCCATTGAAGGCTCTGGGAAAGGTGACGGCCGCATCAACACCAACGAGCTGTCCGGCGGTGCCAAGATCAACCGGCTTTTCCACGAACGGTTCCCGTTTGAGATCGTTAAGATGGAGTTCGACGAGAAGGCACTGCGCAAGGAGATCGCATTCGCCATTCAGAACATCCACGGCATTCGCGTCGGTCTCTTCACGCCCGACATGGCCTTCGACGCTATCGTGAAGAAGCAGATCGAGCGACTGAAGGAGCCCAGCTTGAAGTGCGTGGACCTGGTGGTGCAGGAGCTCACCAACGTGGTGCGTGCGTGTACCGAAAAGCTGGCACGCTACCCCCGGCTGCGAGACGAGGCTGAACGCATCGTCTGCACGTTCATTCGCGAGCGCGAGGCTGAGGTCAAGAAGCAGATCATTCTGCTGATCAACTGCGAGCTGGCATACATGAACACAAACCACGAGGACTTCATCGGCTTCGCCAACGCGCAGTCGCAGACGGAGAACGCCAACAAGACGGGTCGCAAGCTGGGCAACCAGGTGATCCGCAAAGGCTGGCTGTCCATCGGCAACCTGGGCATCATGCGCGGCGGCTCGCGCGACTACTGGTTCGTGCTGACGTCAGAGAGCCTTAACTGGTTCAAGGACGACGAGGAGCGTGATAAGAAGTACATGCTGCCGCTGGACAACCTGAAGCTGCGCGATGTGGAGAGCGGCTTTATAGCGCGCCGCCCGGCATTCGCCCTCTTCTCGCCGGACGGCCGCAACGTCTACAGAGACCACAAGCAGCTGGAGCTCAGCAGCGAGACGTCGGAGGAGATGGATTCTTGGAAGGCGTCTTTTCTGCGCGCCGGCGTCTACCCAGAGAAGGTGTCCTCTGTCAACGGGAGTCGCGACGACGACGACGACCAGGCTGCGTCGCTGGACCCCATGTTGGAGCGCCAGGTGGAGACCATCCGTAACCTAGTCGATAGCTACATGAAGATCGTGACCAAGACGACGCGCGACCTGGTGCCCAAGACCATCATGTACATGATGATCGGTCAATGCAAGACATTCATCATGGGTGAGCTGCTGGCGCACCTGTACGCCAGCGGTGACCAGGCCAGCATGATGGAGGAGTCCGCCGAAGAGGCCTCCAAGCGCGAGGAAATGCTGCGCATGTACCACGCCTGCAAGGAGGCGCTGCGCATCATCAGTAGCGCGTCACTGGCGTGCTCGGCTGCGCCCGCCTCGGCAGCCGTTAGCATGGACTGGGCCAACTCCACAAGCGGTGGCGGCGCGGCTGGCCGGCGCGCGCCACCGCCGACCGCGGCGCGACCGCCGCTAGTGACCGGTCGCCCGGCGCCGGCCATCCCGTCGCGGCCGGGCGGCCGTCAGGGCCTGCCGCCGCCGCTGCAGCCGACCCGTCCGGCCGCCCGGCCGCCCGTGCCGGGCCGGCCGCGCTAGGAGGCCGTCTCTAGTCGTCCGCCCTGCCTGCCAGGCGACCCCCCCGCCGACAGGGTAACGTAGCGTCGATGTGCCAGGCCGTAGGTGGGGCAGTGAGGCTGGCCGAATTATAGGCGTCTGTTGTGTCTGTGGCCGGCGGTGTCGCGGTGATGAACGCCGTCAGCTTATTGTTGGAGATAAGTTAGCGGACCGCGCGTTTTTATTGTTTGTTGTGTGATGATCCATGAGCCGTTCTTGACTATCCGTTGCTAGCTCCTCTGAAAGTCGCGACGGACGCCCACTGATTGTCGAAGTTCGTTTGGATATTGTGTTGGAAATGTGGCTGGTTGTCTGTTCAGCACCATTCGCAATGTGAGTCGTTCGATTCTAGCGTGCTTCATAACTTACGCAGACTCCTGTGGGCTCTGCGTACGCCGCGTGTGAGATCCAACCACTCTCCGGCGTCTCGTGGATTCCATGCGATTTCGCTGTTGGCCATTTCGAGATGTTGACCACACCCACCTCCGACTCTGGTGCTCCGACCATGGGTCACCTGGGCCTTTGCGCGATCGTGAGAACCGTGCGGGACGTAGATGCCCGGATTGTCACGGCCAGGCCGTGCGTTGCATTGAAAAACGCTTGAATAACTCATGTGTTCTAGGGTGGAACCTTTTCTGCGTTGAAGTTGAAATGAGGAGCGTAGTATCGGGCACAAAGGCGTACTGGTTTGCACTGCTCTGTGTGCGGGCACTGCCACTGTAGGCTATCCCTTACGACGAATCTTGCGCCAGTCCAGCGCCGAAGTCTCGGTGTTTATGATGCGGGAGGGCATTACCGCTGGTTGGTTTCCGTATAGGTGATTCAGTGTATACAAATCGAGTTCCAGTCCTATTCCCGTTTTGCCTGCCTCTTGTCTATCTGCTGTGAAAATTGAAAGCACGCGACTCAGTTTTGCTGCATGTGTTTTCGCTTCGTCGCGTATTCAGTGTGTTAGGGAGGTGCGCAGCTGGAAGTCGATTTGTTGTATTCACTGCAAGCGTAGTTTAGAAACATGTATCGTGTGCACGCTCTGGCGGCTTCCGCTGCCTCACCACTGCAAACGGCGCAGAGCCAGTCGGGCTCGGGGCAGTGGTACGTGTGCTGGGCCATTCCTCTCAGTAGGTTTTGATACTATCAGAGGCTGCTTGTGGCAGCGCACAAATAATTTTGCCTACTTCAGTGCACGTTTAGCGCTCAAATGTGATGTTCATCAAATTTATCCAAAGTTTTTGAGGTGTGCTATGCTTACCTTATACGCTGTGCGATGTTTACAACTTGCGCATGTAATAAACGCAATCGTAATCATCGCTGTGTTGCCTTCACTAGCCCGCCGGTCGGCATGGGCGCTCGGGTCCAGGCCGGCCTGAGAGCCGTCGCCTGTGCCGGCCGCACCCGGTCAGCCCCGAGCTGGCTTGTCCGAGCCCCGGCTGGCCGACGGCGTCGGGCTCGGGCCAGCTGCCGGGTCCGATAGCGCCCCGCTGCGCACAGCCAGAATATCTTATCTGACCGCCGCGGCGACTCGGCGGGCCCCGGCCCAGCGGCCCAGCAGGGCAGGCCTGGGGCAAGGCGTGACGTTGAAGTGGCCCTCTCGGGCCCGCCTTGCGCCTGGAACTCGCGTGGTTGCCGTATCTACACGTGCCACATTTCTGTGGAGCTGTAGCCGTTATAGGGGTCATCACCGCAGTGAGTGTGTGGCGCTAGCCGTGCCCTCTGTGCCCCCGGATATCGGGCAGTCTGCCATATGTTCAGACGAATGCTGTTCGACACCCGCTGCTATCTGTAGTCGGACGTTCTGTGATCAACCACCGCACCGGACGTTGGCACACGCCGGCTTTGAGATCACGTTGAAAGTGTTGGTGTCGGTACATCGCATCGGGTGTATGCGGCTTTAGCTCTACCATCCGTAGATGCTTTGGTAACGGCCCGTCCTTTTCCAACAGAACGTGCGGGTAATGCTCCTGCTGAAAAAACAAATGTTTCAAAACAGGTGGGCCTGTTGATGGGCTATTTCTTTCCAAGTAAGTAAAATCTTCCTCCTGTCACAGCAACGACCAGTCGGGGAAACACTGGAGCACCAGCCGAAGCATGAATGAAGAATATAAGTAGCCCTGCGCCTTCAAACTAACGCGTAATCACGCACGGCCTTGGCTTGGGAGGCGCCAGGCGGGGCTAACGCCAACGCAAAACCAATGTAGCACAACGGAGCGCACACAAAAACAATGTGGTACCTCCGGCTCGAAACACGGGCAACTGCCGGGTGGTGGACGTGGACAGAGTGAGGTAACCGACGCCAATAACCAAGGTCCCATTCGCCTTTCATCTTGAGAAACACCCCGCATAATGAGAACGCGTTCTCACCACACCGTTCAAACCCTTTGTCATCCAGAGGCTGGGCGTGTGAGTGCGTCCGGAACCCTGGCGCTGCGTGCGGCCAGGCCCGGCGTCCGCCATCGTGCGCGCGGCGCTCCCGCTGAGCGGTGACTCAGTGGCGCGCCGGCGCGGGGTCAGGGCGCGCCTTTGTACAGCGGCCCGTGACGCGCGAGCTGCCTCCGGATGCTCCGCCAGGCGGCCGCGCCGCACGTGCCGGCCCGCTACGCGTGGTGACGGCAGGCGGACGTCAGCGGTCGCGTCTGTCGCGGCGGCGGGGTCGGTGCGCGCCGCGTCACCGACCTGTTCGTCATCGGCGCCTGCCGCGCTCATCAGCATAACAAGGGATTTCCCGACCTGCGCCACTGTGTTGAACCGATTTTGCGCCACCGGTGTTTGACCGATTTTGCGCTACTGTGTTCGGGCCGGTTTTGTGCTACCGTGGCCCTAAACATACGGCGTCCGCGAACAGCAGACAGCTCTGCACTTTTCGACATCGGTAACTGTGATGCAGTGGATGCAGGACTGCGCCAGGCGTCAACTCCGACCCCATCTGTTCATATCGTGATGTAATCTTATACGAGTTGAGGGCACACTTTGCAGGAGTGCCTGAGGTCAGCAGGGTCAGCTCAGCACCGCCCGGTGTGAGACTGCAGGCTCACCACCTCTCGAGGCGGAACGGTCAGCTCAGCACCGCTCGGGGTGAGACTGTAGTCTCACCATCGCTCGAGGCGGAACGGTCAGCTCAGCACCGCTCGGGGTGAGACTGTGGGCTCACCACCGCTCTAGGCGGAACGGTCAGCTCAGCACCGCTCGGGTGAGACTGTAGTCACCACCGCTTTAGGCGGAACGGTCAGCTCAGCACCGCTCGGGGTGAGACTGTGGGCTCACCGCCGCTTTAGGCGGGACGGTCAGCTCAGCACCGCTCGGGTGAGACTGTAGGCTCACCACCGCTTGAGGCGGGACGGCCAGCTCAGCACCGCTCGGGTGAGACTGTAGGCTCACCACCGCTTGAGGCGGGACGGCCACCTCAGCGCCGCTCGAGTCCGCATATATGAATAAAACGAGGCCCATGTTCTGCATTATGAGCTCAGGGTTTTCATGCTGACAGATATCGGCATTCAGCGACCAGGAGGTACTGGTTAACCGACGTTATTGAGCAAGCATTGTACCGGGAGGTACTGGGTAAACGACGTTACCGAGCAAACATTGGTTATGTGGCCAATACTCAACATCTGAAGCTGTGCTTATGATCACTGGCGATGGTTAGTCGTGATAACATGATCGCTTGTGATCATCGCTCATGATAATAAGAACAGCTTGAAACGTGGATTATTTGCAAAATAACCAATGAATCCTCAATAACGCAGCCTAACCAGTCTCTCCTGGTATACTGAAAGTCGAAAAATTATCAAGATAGGCAATCTGAACTCATATGCCGAAGAATCAGGGTTCAAAGCCTTTCTTGATCATATCATGTCTAGGTTCTGGCTAAAGTTGTCGAACTTGGGGCATCTGACATCTAAGCGTCATCAGTTGACATTTGCTATAGGGCAGTATGTATATGGCAAGACGCTGCTCGGCCCAGGACACAGTTTCTGTGAGTCGCCGAACTGCATGGCTTACGAACATTTACAAGCTGTCTCTGCTGATGACTTGATAAATGTTATTCGTTTGGCTTTGAGCTTATATGACTACCCCTTTGAACGCCGATTTTTTTTGCAAACCCGGGCCTTGACCTGGAGATTGAGTGTCATTGATAATGCACTGATTCAAAGCCGGATGACAGCCAACGGCCCTCTTGGAATTCGTGCGTGACCGCCGATCTCCCACCCCGCGCCACAACCGCACTCGGGATCAGGAGCGCCAGCCGTGGCCCGCCGACGCCCCCCCCCCCCTTCCCCCCCCCCCCGTCCTCGGCAATCGATTGAGTCAAGCGGGAGAGAACGTAGGTGGCCGAGCCCCCACCGGCCTCCATGACGTCACTGTCCCGTTTGACGCACGCAGCCGCTGCGCAGCCGTCGGCGGCGTCGGCTCCCGCGGTTTTGGTGGGGTGGCGGTGGCGTTGGCGGTGGGTTACCCAGTGGTGGCGCCGCGTGGGCGTGACCGGCGGCCAAGGTCACGGTCGTGCCGCCGCCTATCGATTGGCTCGTCCGTGCCGCGGGCCGTCGGCCGGCAGGTCAGGCAGTGCACGCGGCGGCCGGCGTGCAGCTGCACTCGCCCAGCTGTACTCGCACGGCATACACCACGACCACGTGTACCACCATGTTTTTTACACGGCCCCGGTGCCGACTGGTCCGCCAAGGACGACACGCAGCTGGGCGGGCGTGCGCGCACCACCGTAACGTGGCGAGCACCGGCGTCACTCCGGCTCGAATCGGACGGGTGGGCAGGTGTGGTCGGGTCCTCGCGTGGTCATTGCCAAATCAGCGGGACCACGCAGATTTTCGCGCGTGGGCCAGCGCCTGTGCGGCATACAATAGCCCTGATGTGACCCCGGCCCGGCAGTACCTCGGGAGACGTTTGTGACCGAAGCCCGATCCTTATTTCACATGACACGAGGCACGGAG